GGGAAAGAGGACCGAAGAATGCCACTGAAAGACACTACTGAGACAAAGATGGGCTGTCAAGAACATAGAGGAGGTAGGATGGGCAGTTGGTCAAATCTAGTATGGATCGTACATGGACGATAGTTGGAGTTGACGGCTCTCCTAAGTTTACCTCATCTGGGATCCCTGGGGAAGAGGATCAAGTTGGCCCTTGCGAACAGCTTGATGCGCTATCTCCCTTCAACCATTTGAGCGAAATGGGACAAAAGGAAGAAAAAACCATGGGCCGACACCCTGTAGGAACTACGAGATCACCCCAAGGACGCCTTTGGCATCCAAGGGTCACAGACCGACCATATACCTTGTTCACTAAGTGGAACACATTAGCTGTCCGCTCTCCGGTTGGGTAGTAAGGGTCAGAGAAGGGCAATCACTCATTCTTAAAACAACATTCTTAAGACCAAATAGTCGGGCGGAATAGGGGGAGAGCTCTCCGTTCCTGGTTCTCCTGTAGCTGGATACTCTGAAACCACAAGAATCCTTAAAATGGGATTCCAACTAAACACCTTTTGATTGATTTTGAGAGGAGTTGCTCTTTGGAGAGCACATACAATGAAAGTTGTAAGCTATGTTCGGGGGGAGTTATTGTCTATCGTTGGCCTCCATGGTAGAATTAGTCGGGGAGGCCCGAGAGGTGGTGGTTTACCCTGTGGCGGATGTCAACGGTTCTAGTCCGCTTATCTCTAGCTCGTGATCTTAGCCGATACAAAGGTATATGATAGCACCCATTTTTTTCAATTCAGCAGTTCGATTTATGATTTATCATTCATGGACGTTGATAAGATCCTTCCATTTAGCAGCACCTTAGGTCAGTATGGCATAGACCTAACATTAACGGCGAGGTTCAAACAAGGAAAGGCTTACGGTGGATACCCAGGCACCTAGAGATGAGGAAGGGTGTAGCAAGCGACAAAATGCTTCGGGGAGTTGAAAATATATACAGATCCAGAGATTCCCAAATGGGTCAACCTTTCGAATTGTTGCTGAATCCATAGGCAGGTAAGAGACAACCTAACGAACTGAAACATCTTAGTAACCAGAGGAAAAGAAAGCAATAGCGATTCCCGTAGTAGCGGCGAGCGATATGGGAGCAGCCTAAACCGTGAAAACGGGGTTGTGGGAGAGCAATACAAGTGTCGTATTGCTAGGCGAAGCGATTGAGTACTGCACCCTAGATGGCGAGAGTCCAATAGCCGAAAGCATCACTGGCTTACGCTCTGACCCGAGTAGCATGGGGAACGTGGAATCCCATGTGAATCAATAAGGACAACCTTGTAAGGCTAAATACTCCTGGGTGACCGATGGCGAAGCAATACGTGAGGGAAAGGTGAAAAGAACCCCCATCGGAGAGTGAAATAGAACATGAAACCGTGAGCTCCGAAGCAGTGGGAGGAGAATTTGTTCTCCGACCGTGTGCCTGTTGAAGAATGAGCCAGCAACTTATAGGTAGTAATTTAATATCTGATTGCGTTCCTATTAAAGAATGAGTCAGCGACTCATAGGCAGTGGCTTGGTTAAGGGAACCCACCGGAGCCGTAGCGAAAGCGAGTCTTCATAGGGCAATTGTCACTACTTATGGACCCAAACCTGGGTGATCAATCCATGCTTAGGGAGTTTTTAGGGTAATTTTAGAGCCCCAAACTCTTTGTGATCATGAAATAGACGAAAACATAATAGTACAACAATACAATACTACAATGAGTAGAATCACATAACATATTTACGGATCAGATTAAAGAATTAAGTCACTGACCATTACTTTACAATAACTAAATATATAAGACATTTTAAGACCTTAGTTTCATTTTCATATAAGACTTAACTCATTAAGATATCACATAATCAATTATTTATCAAATAAACTAAAAAAAAAAAATAGAATATCAAAATAAGACACATTGTACAAAAAAGAATACGATATATGCTCAATTTCATTGTCCAAGTGAGGAAAATATTCAATTAATCACCAAAAAAATCAATCTTTTAACTACAAACATGTAAATATATTGTAAAAGACAAAAAAAAAAAAGTAAAAGAAAAAATACATGATTCATAACATAATATGTTGTAGCAAAATAAAATCCAAACCCTCTTTCAAATATGATAATAATTTAAAAATATCAAAATCAAATTGTTATCAGTGCAAACCTCGTCTATTGGGTCGCTAAAAGTTCTCAAAATCAACTACTAGAAGCTCTAAATCTACCAACGAACTGCTGCCTTCGTTTTGGGAAGAAATCCAAAAAATAAAAAATTTATCGATCTTTCGATAAATCACAAAAGAGTAGTTTTTGGGGAGTTTTCTCACCCTAAAGGCCACAGATTTTCTATTGGGGGTTTAGAATACACCCTACAACCCTTTCCCCTCCTTTTTAGGGGGGAAAAATTCCATTTTTTATCCTCACCGAGGATTTTTTTCTGCCCGCCTGCAAGTTGTCATGGGGCGGCGCCTAGGCGGGCGCCCAAACAATAGTGTCTAGGCAGTGCCTTGACTGCCTAGGCGGGTGCAGCGACAAGGGGTGCATAATGACCCCGCCCAAACTGTGCCTAGGCGTTTTTAAATTTTTTTCGCCTAGGCGGTAGGGCGGTCGAATTTTCGAACATTGACCATGTCTCAAATCATACCCAAGCACCACCAGATTGAGGTATCCTATTACAACAAATGAATAAGAATGAATATATCATTGCAAAGGGTTCTCACACCACCTGGATCAAAACCATGGTCTCAAAGTAAAATAGATTCAAAAGATCGACAATCTTTCCCAACCCCCAAAGCTTAGCCATTGAGTTTCAATTAGTAGTGAAACAAGCAACTGGAAGATTAAAAAGTAAAATATACCATCCACACTTCAGTGGCTTGATCAATGAGAAGAAAAATCAACAACAAAAGATCAACGGGGTTGACAATTCCATTAACCCACTAGATTAACTGCTAGATGACCCATATATAAATATAAAATGCACATAAGGAGAAATGTAACCATCGGATTTGGAGAGAGAGAGAGAGAGAGAGATTTCACAGGGCCCTAGCTCAAGTCAGCCTTGGCCCATCCCAGGCCTGGCCCACTTAAGCCCCTAATTTTGAATTAGGAGGTGCTTGGTTATAACAAAAGAGAGTAAAGACACATGCATAACTAACTAGGGGGATGAGAGGGTGGATATGCGGGTGGTTATGGGAGAGAAAGTGGATTACTAGTTGGTTACATGACTGTAACATCAAAGACACTTGTTTTGCTTCATGTGATGGCAAAGGATCTTTAAATACACCCAAGTTTTGGTTCTTAGACTCTGATACTATATCTTTTTTTGTATGTTTGAAACCCTAAGTCCTTTTACTTAAGAGTGGCCGATATCCTACCAACGACAACTAAATTCATTGTGGCAGCAGACCACCAATACCTAGAGGAGCATACATGGAAAAATCGATGCGAGTGTAGAAGACAATTAGGGGCAGTGTTATAGTGAATCAAATGATTTATGGGTATAGAGGACTTTCCAATGGAAAAGCCTACAAATGTGATGGGAATTAGTAATCCAAGTTTAGCAAGAGACAGAGAGGAGACAATATAGGATGATCTTGGCGTGGAGCAAAAGAAAGATGTTGGCTCAGTTGAAGAGGAGGAAAGATCTTTATTGACACTTCAGCTTTGAGCAAAATATCTACTGCCATGGTGGGTAATAAAAAGTAATAAGTTGCTCATGACTGACTTAAATAGTGGACCTATTTTACACTAACCATACTTGACTGCCATGCCACCTGCTAGCTTATTTAATGATAAGGAATTTTTTTTTTTTTGATGAAAGTTAACAATGATAAGGGATATATTTCAAGTATACTATACAATTATTTCATTAAAAAGTAAATGTAGTGACATGCTTGTGCCGTATCGGCTTTTCAGCTGTAGTACTAGACATCCTAGATATGTGTTGGATATGGACACTCATAACAGTGCCCATGTAGCACTGCTAAGCAGAGACCAAATCTTTAAGCATATGACCTCAAGAACTTTGAATGGGAATTGCAAAAACAAGGTTTGAAGGCTGGGTAGGCAGACATTCTTAACAGATTTTAAAGATTATTTGCATATTGGGCATGTCGTTTCTTCATTTTCATAGAGAGACGAATGGTAACGCAAACTCCAAGGCATGACTTTGTTGCTTAGGAAGGTTAGATGTTTGGGGCATTTTGCCCCCTGTAACCTTATCATTGTTATTTACTCATGGACTAGTTGCCCATCATTAATAATAATCATCTATAACATATATATAAAAAAAAAATAAAGACAAAAGGCAGGTCAGGCAAAAAGTGTGTGTGACTTGACTTATAAAAGGGCCAAGTCCTATGAACTGAGAAAAATACCAAAACAACAGGTAGAGCCATGAGGATTGCAGTTTCCAAGGGCCTGAAAGGGTATTGTACAGTATGTATTATGAAGAAAAGCGGCTCTTTCAAGTAACATAATGACCTGAAAGTATAATTTAGTGAAAACATCATGATCTGAAAAATAAACTAGTAAAAGTATAAAACAATGAATAACCATGCTCAAGAGGCAAAGTGACAAACTTCCCAACAAGTTTGCACCCTTACTAGTACTTCCTAACATAAGTGGCCCCGTTTTTCTCTCTCTCTCTGACAGATAGTGACATGGAAAAGAAGTATTTCCTTCTGTGAATTAATTACTTCATCAGCACCCAAATATACACAGAAAAAATAATTCAATATACAACCATAAAAATGTTTATAATACAGCTATAAACTTGTACAGAAGGCACATACACACAAAGTGTTGTACTAAAGTGTCCTACTAAAAGATATTTCATCATGCTGTAGTTGCAGTTAGTTGATCAAAATCAACTGATCATAGCATAACGATCATGATAATAGGTAACAATACATAGGAATGCACATTACATGCCAAAGGAAAAAATATAATTCCAAATCCTCATGATAAAAGTAGTACCTGAGGCCACCACCACTGACAGGGGCCTCATCAAATTGAGACCCACTTGAAGAGAAAACACAATTGAGATAACCCATGATTGCTCAAATCGATAAAACCATTCCAGTGTACTTCAAAACATTGAATAGTGACTCCCTGGGATGTGTAAGTGCAATTTTTGTGCAAGTAAAATGATCAGAGTCTAACCCTACAAGAAAGACCACACTCCACATTAACCAATCACAACACAAATTATGCATAAAATAGAATAAAATTCAGAATATAGAGCTGAGAACTATACACCATGCTATTTAAGCAAAAAATCTGCATTCAAGAGGAACAAGTAGACCTAAGTGCAAGTTAAAAATATGAAAACTACAAAACATAGTGAGTTCATAAACTGGTTTATGGTCATCATTAAGATACTCTTGGACCTTAACCATGACTAAACTATTCAGAAATTTTCTTCTTCTTTCTGATAATTCAGTGCAATTTACATATTTTAGAAAGGTGAATACATTTATCAACAAGATGGAGATGACACTGGAAATGATAAAGTAGAGATCCCTTGGACTTTAAAACATGAAAGAATCCTCACTTTAAAGTAGTAATGGTAAGCCTTGAGAGCAATTTAAGCATTATAAAACTTGGGATCTCCAAAAATAAAATAAAATAAAATAAAATAATTAAGGGGAACTTATCAAAATGCACCTAACTTTTCAACAAAAAATAATTAAGGGAAACTTATCAAAATACACTTGACTTTTCAACAATTTAACAGTTTACTCTTTTTCAAAGATTCCAACTCATGTTCATGTGTTATTTGATGCGTATTTTGAAATTAAATCAAAAGGTATGGATAAAATATAAACTCTTTATTTATTATATGTATTTTGATAAATTTCCCAAAAATAAAAAATCTGCAATCAAAGTGGTAACATAATTGACCATCAAAACCCATACATCCGTATGGTTCATGAACAAGTACGAACAATAACTGAAATTGCACCATTTTGCAACTCGCATGTGAAAATTGAAACTTTTTGGCAATACAGGACATTTTTTTATAACAAATGACAAACTCTTCTACCAATATATGTGAAACAGAGTTGAACAAAATGGTCAGCACGTCTTCAATTGGGAAAAAGAATAAAACCTATTTGTTATTGAGAAATTCAACCCCTTATGTACAAATATGTGCACCCCACAAGTAGACATAGTTTGCATTATGACAAAAATGAACTTTTAGTAGTTGATAACATATATTTAAATAATCACATAGATAACCAAGGTACATGCACAAATACATTGCACAAACCTATATGGAATATACATGTCATAACAATGCTTAAATGATAAAAAAGAAAATTGCAAGCCCAAAAGATACCTTAAACAAAAACAGAGAGAAGAATTCACCAAGATATGTTTCCTATTTTAAAATGGGAAGAAAAAGCAGCAAAAATATGTAAAAGAAGACAGGAAACATTGAATAAAAAAAAAAACCCTAAAAAATATAATAAAACCCAAACAAATAGAGAAAAGGTATAGACGTGAAGATATATGAATAAATGAACTAAAATTATGAACTACTAAATAGAAAAGAATATATATTTATTTAGGAAGGAAGAAAATGAGAAGAAAATTGAGAAAACAACAGTACGAAAGAAAATAATCAAAATAGACATACCCAAAGCACAGGGGAGAAAATAACAAAACTATGAAATAGAAGATGGAAAAGAACATATATTTAATGAAGAAGTAATCGAAAGAAAATGAGAAAACGACAGTAAGGGCGAATAATCAAAGAAGACATACCCACAAGACAAGGGAGGAGAGAGAAAATATTAGAGGAAAAAGCTAGAGATAAAGAAGGAGACATCGGCTGCCGGTTCCAAAGAGGACATAGCAAAAACTGTGGAACCAATTGATATCAATACTAATCATGAAGGAACTTACCAATCGCAAAAAAGAAAGGGTTTACATAAAAAGAAAGCTTCCAAGAAAGGAAAAATAAGTAAACAATTACACTTCAACAGTAGATACTAAAATATAAAACAAGTGGAGAAAATGATTCATAAATAACATAAGAAAGACAAAAGACAAAATTCATCAACCTTATACTAAACGCAATAGCAAAAAAAAACAAGGGATATAAAAAACTGAGTGAGTGAATTATGTACAAGAGAAAATGAAAAATCAGGAAGCAGACAACTTGAAAATTAAGAACCATTTAGATTAACTGTAAAGCATTAAAAAAAAAGAGTAAGACAATATACTATAAACATAAAACGTAAATTAAATAAAGTACAAAATGATCGGATACGTAAGTAAAATGGAAAAGCAAGAATATAAGATGGAGAAGAAAACGATGTGAGAGAAATATACCGGCAAAGCAAGAGATGAAATGCGATCATGTGTCATCTTATAGAGATGGATAAGGTAATTCACTCAGGGGGGGAGAGAGAGAGAGAGAGAGTAAACGCTTAAAACGCAAATGATCCTAAACAATCAATCCTTCCAATTGCCAATCAGAACACAATTATTTTCTCATACATTAAATGGATCAACGAGCAGCAACACGCATTGAATCGCCATCAATTCAATCACAATTCAGAACATATAATAAAAAATCAACAACTAGAAATCATAAATCCATATGTACATAAAATTCACAAGTTTCTGATAAAAGAAGCAAAAGGCCATCGCTAAATGCTCTGATCATTGAATTCATCAAATATGACATAGGAATCGCCATGGATCTTCCAATAAATAACAAAAAATTGAAATGAAATAAAGGATGGGAGAGAAAAAGCTTACCTGTAACGCTTAGAGGATTTTAGAGTGAGAAATAGAAGATAACGATGGAGAGAGAGAGAGAGGAATTAAGAGTATAAGATTTTAGACTGAGAAAAAGGGGGATAGAGAGAGGAGAGGGGCAAAGCGCATTCAGAGGATTTCCAGACGTTCTCGACACGAAAATTTGTAACAACTCGGCGGAAAATGGCAAAAAGCCTTTTACCGAACGCGAGTGATTTCATCGTTGATTATAACAACTTTTCTCGACCGTTTATTTTCTAAGATTTTCAAGTATTTTGTTGTTGCGTTTGTGTACGAACTATGTAGTAGTATGTTTTAAATTATAAATTTTATAGTCAGTGATAAAAATAAATTTTTTTAACAGGTTTCCAGTTTTTTAGATGCTTACTTCTATAGTATAAGGAGCAACCCGATACAAACCTCACAAGGCGTGAGAAAAAGGCGTCCCTCTGCACACTACTATTTTATTTAATTTTCTCTTCATATCTCCTTAATTTTCTCTCAATATCTCTGTCTCATTAAATTTTTCTCCCTATCTCCCTAATGTTGTCTTCATATTTTCCTTCTACATTCTCTTTAACCATAGGAGCCCTATTTATTCTTATGACATATTCACCCTTAACTGGGCTTAATAATTTAACCTAGATATTGAATATTTTTTTAGCAAAATAAAGTAAATTAAAACGATAGAGTAGGCATTTTCTCATTTATTGTAGGTACAAAAAGAGTTGTATCTTAATGAACAAGCAGCTCGGGGTTGGTCAGTGGGGAATGAGTAAGTTTATATGATCAAATAAAATGATTCCATGATCAAAACATGAACCTAAAAAAATTTAGGTTTCAAACTGCGGCCCACTTTTAATGCTCGTTGAATACTAAAGAAGTTGGCACTGCATGTGGAGGAGAATCCAATGTAATATATGAACACAGGAGTAACCTCTCAAATGCCATATCCCATGAATGTGTTGTAAGGGTGAGATATGTTGTGTCAAAGTGTTGTTTTAGTATCCGAGTGGATCAATGTGTTGACTAAATTCCGTAGGTGCGAAATCAGCTACCAACTAGAAAAAATATCATATTCGTGATGCTGGATCGTATACAATGACAACATCCCATAAATTTTGGGCCTAACTTTTAGAAAACCATGTGTGGTATTTGTATGACTCAAAATTTCACACACACACACTCTCTTTATCTCAAAAATCAATCCAAAAAAAAGAAGAAAAAGTTCAATTTGTACCTTAGATATTGTCAAAATAAGTTCTCTTCAACAAAAAATCTAAGACCATTCATTTTGGTGAATTTCAAGATCTTAGCCTTTAGAAACTCAAAATCTTTTTTTTTTTTGTTTTTTAATATTTTTGATCTAATGATAATAAAGCCATCTAACAAAATTGAAAAAGAAAAAATCCATTTGAAGCCTAGATCTAAGCATCTTATCAAAATGGACGGCCTATGTTAATTGGGATAAAAAAATATTTTTTTTGTTCCATTTTCAAATTTTTTATTCTTTGCGATTGTTCATTAGAATGAAAAGAGTTTATATTTCAAAATTTGGATCAAACAAATGACTCTAACAAGGTTTTCGAAGATTGTTACATTATATTACTATACAACCGTTGCATAAAATCACTGCCCAATATCATATTACTCTACATTGCTATGTAATTTCCCTAGACCAACTCAATCACACTTTTCATTTTCAATAGTGATTTTTATGATTTAACAACCTATTAACAACAAAATCACTTACCAAAAAGCAAATTCATAAACACTCCACAGTCTCTTCAATCTTCACCTCCTTATATAAAAACTCAAAGAAAGTTGTATGAGTCCCAATATTCGGATTTTTTTTTGGTAATTCAGTGGGAAAGACACGCCCCTATTTGTTTTTTCAAGTAGATTAAGAATTAGTTTTTTTTTTTTTTAAGTCATTAATGGAGTGGTGCTAGTGGTGAGAATGAAAACTACAAAGTGGTAACTAAAGTGTGGAATGCTATCACCGTGACCCTAGCCCCTATCCCGCAATGTTTGGTTTAATTTCATTATATTCATAATCTCCAATAAAAACTTATTTGCATCGCTAAATTTCCCATCTCTCTCGAGAGCTTTTATAAAAAGTATATGGCTTAACATTGGAGACCAACATTCTCATATAACCTTTCATGGCCTCTTTGACCTGTGTTCGCATAAGCTTCGATAACGCTGTATGAGCAACAATTGTCAGGCATTTGGCCCTCATCTTTGACCACCCTGGAAAGTTCCATGGCTTAATGGGTTAACCCTTCTTTTGACAAAGCATCGAACGTTTTTAATGGCATTAGGAATCAACTCCTCTGTCTTCATCCTGTAAAAAATCTCTTGAAGGTCTTTTGGGTCATTCGGTTCTCAACAAGTGGTTTTTTGCTCAATAAAGAGAGGGAGCATGCTCTTATCTATCACGAGGTTCTTACTTTTTCATCATCATCATCATCATGCCTATCACCATGTTCTTACTTCTTCTTTTCATCATCATCATAGACTGAATCAGAGTTGTTGAAATTAAGCTTCTTTGAGCTGTTTGATGTCGTTTCAGAGCTAAACTTTTTAAAGAGAGAAAATGGAAAGTACGTTTTGCTGGGTTTTTGAGATTAGATGAGATTTAAGTAGTTTCTTGATGACCGATGATTGGAAAAGTACGAGAGAGAGAGAGAGTTTTGAAGGGATATGACGAAATTTTTTCCTAATCTTTTGTTGAATGGTCCTGGTATTGAGATTAATTAATTTTTTTTTTCCTTTTCTTTCTAGATTTCTTTGTGCAATGTCCGTGAAATATGATAAATGTGCTGTGAGACCCGATATCACTGCAATAGCAGCGACAAGAAGAATGTTCCCTCCTCCCATTTAACAGCCGTCATTTTCATGTAAATACTTTTATCTTTTTTTTTTTTTGGAAAAGTATATAACGAGATCATTTAGCCGTCATTTTCATGTAACTACTTTATCTTTTTTAAAAAAAAAAAACATATAATGAGACCATTTACCTTTAATACAAAATGGTCACAATTAATCTTGACCACTGGATGTGATATTAAGTGGCTGCAATTATTTTATTGACTAAACTCAAAATCTAAAAGAAATTTTTTCGAACTTTGTAACACATCCAAACGATTAGATTTCACATCGGATATATATAAATAATTGTGATCTCCATGTATGAAAGATAAATGGTCTCATTATACAATCCTTTTTCTTTTTTAGCATTACATATACAGAGCATATCCTTTTTCTTTTAGCATTGCGTATACAGAGCAGAGAAACAAAAGAGAGTTTTTTTCATTTGAAATGCGAGAAGAGAGAGTTTGCGACATGAAGACAAAATACGTCTTAAGGCACCTCACAAACATCCAACCACAATTGCAAGAGGCGACTGGTGAAATAATGATATTGATCGTTACAGGTTGGCTAGGATATATCTCAGACCTGTTGATATAAGGTGGCACAGGAATGGAAGTACATGAAGCGCCCAATGCAGATTACCATGCCCATCGGATGAAATGGATATTTCGATTCCCAAAACACGACCAAATGACGATATGGATATTCGGACGCAGGCAATATATCTCCCTGATTATTTCAAGTTATGCCTTCACGAGGTACCCAACCAGGACACCCAAAAGACCAACCAGAGCCATAATAAAAAATGAGAACCCTGCACTTCTATCTTTTTCTCTCCTCAACAATCCCTGTAACAAAGAAGAAGCATATAATAAAAATCCAATTTGCAAAAAAAACAAGACTTTAATTATCGACTAGATAATAAGCATCAGGAACTCAAGATGCATAATACATCATGGCATTCTATTTTCTGGTGGACTGCTCCTACAGTAGGCACCCACAAGGAAAAGAGAGGAGCATTTCTTTCTATTCTCCGAAATTTAAGAAAACTATATGATTAGTGCATCAAAACTCGGAACCTTTTGGGACAAGAAGAAAAGCTTCAAGTGGGATTTAAGCTTTTTTTTTCCTTTTTTGGGAAATTTAGCAAAATATACCTAACTTGTCAATAAAACCTTTTTCCAAATATTATATTTCATGTGTATCAAGGGCCATAACCTCAGTCAGACCATAAGTCACCATATCTCTTTTTTCTACTTCCATACATGTCTTTTTAGGCTGTCCCCTTGCCATTTTAGAGCCTTCTACTTGAACTAAATCATCCCTCCTAAATGAAGCTGTTTTAGGTCAACACTCTACATGGTTAGACCACCTAAGTCTACTTTGCCTCATCTTATCACTTATTGGAGCTACCGCTAAAGTCTCTCAGATGCATTCATTCGGAATTCTATCCTTTCTTGTCTTCCCACTCATCCATCTCAACATCCTCATCTCAGCTACCGCCATTCTATGAATATGCTTTTTCTTAATCGCCCAACATTCCGTCCTATAAAACATGGCCTGCTTTACAACCGTCTTTTTGGGCCTTCCCTTTTGCCCTTTTAGCTGTTCTAGATCAATGCTCTACATGGCTAGACCACCTAAGTCTACTTTCCCTCATTTTATCCTCTATTGGAGCTACCCCTAAGGTCTCTCGGCTTTCTTGTCTTGCCAGTCATCCATCTCAACATCCTCATCTCAGCTACCCTCATTATATGGATATGTTGTTTTTTAATTGCCCCACATCCATCCTATAAAGCATGGCTTGTCTTACAACCATCCTATATATATATATATATATATATATATATATATAGTAGTTAGTGTGACATAGACGACTACTACTTACGTTATAATAAGTAAGTAACGTAACTAAACTTAACTAACCTAACTACTGTAGTAGTAGTAAGTACTA